TGTACTACCGATAAAACTGTACAACTTTCATATTTAAAGTTTTTTTCCACCTCTTATAGCTAAAGCTGAAGGTAGAGATCAAAATATGAGGAAACACCCAAACACCCTGACCTCTGCACATGCTTGGACTTCAACTCCTAATGCTTTGAGAGTTGCAAGTCAGCAAATCGTTCACTAGCAGGGCCCAGAAACTTTGGGCCAAAGTAGAGGAGATAGAACTCCATCCTGCAGATATCCTCTGGCAGCCCTCAACCAAACCTCTCTGAGACACCGAGAAAGACACTTTTTTGGAGCAACACACTCAAAACCTACCTAAAATATTAAGTTTGGGAATATAATTCAAAAACCATGTACTGATACTGAAGTTTAAACAAGCTACTGACGAACGCACAGGAAGTTTTGTACCACTTTGTAGAAAATTACTAAATACAAATTCAAAATTTTAGACGGGGGCAAAATTTTAGATGAGCAAAAGCATGTCGAGAGACAAATCTATTTTATTCAGTTATGACAAATTTTAGTTTTTTTCTTGGAATATAAATCACAAGTTTATATTTCAATAATAATGATTGTAGGGATACAGAATAGTTCCCTTCTTTATAGTAAATTCATTGGTATGTTTTCGCTCCTTTTCAATGAGGACGAGGATGGGATGTAACTTTGGATTTCGAAACTAGTCATACATAAAAATGAAGAATGGTGAGAAGAGACCTGTGTTCTACTTTAAAAAAATCAATACTTTTTAAACGCACAAATTTCGAAACTAAATAATTACTTCACAACTTTTGCTGAAAATCAGCATTTTTCACCCCAGATGCAAAGGCTTTTAACTTTCTTAAAATACATTCTAAAGCATAAGTTTATGGAAACTTTTTTATTTTAATTTTGGCGAGATTTATCACTATAATAATATGACAAATTGAATAAAGCAAGTCAACCTCAAAGTAAAAAACTTAAAATTTGAAAGACCAAGAAAAAACGCATGTTCCTACCAAGGGAAAATACTAGAACTTTTTGTTGCTGGTTGCCGAATTTATTTATGGAAACGGGAAAAACAACAAAATTCTATACTTTAACTGTGAATGTGTTCCATTTATCGACCAGTTCACAAGCGGTTGCATTGTGGTCACTTCAAAATTGGGTTATTCATGGAATATGCAACATTTGTTTGGTTTAAATTTTCATCGATTCTTGATTCATTTTTCCAACTATCCGCCCTATTATTGTTCCAAGTTTTGTCCTTAACTATTTTTTAGAGGGCCAATTTAACGATTTCTTTATGTTCTGGCTTCTATAAATACTGCAATTCTCAAACATGGATATCTACAATATTCAGGATCATAGTGATTTACTGATTAGGTACCTACTAAATAAATAATTATTGCCAAACATATTTTTTGAAATGTTCAAGTACTTCATTGATAAAATTGTGACACTTTTCTAGGAAATGATATATACGGGACAGCAAACCAAGACAAGAAGTTGGTGGGAATATTATAGTTAGTTATATTCTAGTCTAGAGACACTACACCGAGAAAACTCATTTCAGTAACATTGTGTTGTTACAACAAAAATAGTTTTGCAAAAGACATTAACTTGATAGTCGTCACTCTTATGGATGGCCCAAGCGTGAATATTCGGGAATTCGTTCATTTGTGGGATTTAAATGAAATAAGCAAGGATTTCTTGAATAAATGATTTTCTACCTATATAAAGCGCGTAGTTTGTAAGTTAGTGAATTTAAATTCGACAATTTTTGTATAAACTTGAGTAAATGCAATAAGTGATTAGTCAATTAGTACAATGAAAGTACATAAATAACATAAAGTGCCTATTGATGTAGATAAGTTTGAGTTGGTTTTGTTGAAAATGTATGTATATGTATTTTTCTAAAAAACCTTTGTTATTACAGTACTCTTTCTTTTACAATACATATTTCACATAATAATCATTCTCTAATCAGTATCAGTACATAGGAGCACTGGCCTCAATAAACATATAATACAGTGCTATGCTCTATTGGATGAATATACCACTTTCATGTGTCAGGAATATGGCAAACTATGATATTTTTTGACGCAGATACCTATTTCCTAAATAAACTTGTACAAAAATTCAGCTACATAAATCTCTTGAATATACGATATCCTGTTATAGTAGTCCACACCCCAAATTGAGCCAATAAGTGAGTAATTTACTTGTTTATTTGTGCTTTGGCCCGATAAATATAGCATTTCCGCTCTTATTTTCCCGATCAATGGTGCAGAGTGCATTTAAATCAGTCGATTTAATTTTAAACAGTTTCATGTATCACTTGGCCTCTTTATTTAGATTTCAACAGTCTGGCAGCTTTGGTTTTTAATGGTTTTCACCGTTTAATGAGAGTATGACCTCTTAAATTATTCAGGGTTAGATGTGGAGCTTTTCAAGTGGGTGGAATAGCGTCTTGTTGGGTAATAAAAAGTGGTTTTAATTTTAAATTTTCCCATTTTGCTTTTTTTAAGTGAGGAAAGCAAAGCTCCAGGTGAGGGCGATATTATTTTGACTACAGTAAACCAAGTATGCATAATAAGCAATCTTATATTTAAAGGTCTATGTGAAAAAAAAAAACACCCTTCTTTCAACCAAAGGTGGAATAATCGGAGATTCTTTCCTATGCGAAACCATGGTTAAATGGATGAAAAATTTTCTCCAGACCTTTGCCTATTTAAAAAAATTAATGAATCTGAAACATTTTCATTGAATTTTGCCCGTTTTTTTACTAAAGTAAAAGATGCTTAGGTGCAACATTTCACTGCGCAATGTTATTTGATACATACTTACAAATTCATGGTTTTCTTTTCCTATTTTAGCTTGAATTCAGTCTTACATTTCCAACTAATTGCCTTAAAGGAACGTGTCTAATTATAAAACAAGCTTTTCAGAAAATAACCAGATTTTCACCGATTCTGAAAAAGTCACTTTATTTATGTAGGTGTGTGCAATAATTCTTCATAGAACTTTTTGCTTTTCTTCGTAGTACCTACCTACCAGCGTATTATTGTATTCCTATTAGGTATTAAAACTAAATTTGCTGCGAATTTTAGTGGAAGGTGGCAAAAATCGATTATTAGAAGAGGCACAGCATGGCACAAAAATATCAAAGTTATTCATACAAATGCCACCAGAAATGGGGTTAAATTTAATAGATCAATAGCCCCATTACGTTATATCTATGATTTGAATATTTCTATACATACTGTCGGAAAATAAATGTACATATCAGTTTATTTTTTGTGAAAACCAAGCGGAGCTCTGTCAATTCATCCAGAACTTTGGATTCTTTGGAGATATTCAGGTATATAAACCAACCACTCTTAAAGGTTTTTCTTAATTTTTTTAAAACATGCTGAAAAATACATGTATGAGTCAGGCACTTAATGCCACTAATTTAAAATGGTTTCCAGATTTATAAATATGTTTTTATTAGTGTAAATATTTTTTTCAAGTACTAACCGAATTCACGAGTTTTAAGTCAGTTTTCAAGTGCGTGTTACCAATGTTACTAAAAGTGTATATAAATTTCAATGTTTGAAAACGTTACAATCTACTAAATGTGCATACATAGCTTGTATCAGTTAGATAAAAGGAAAAGATGCTATAAACAAAGAACTCTTCTAAAACAACAATGAAGCTATACATTTTGCAAAAACATTTCCTTATAATTACACAAGAATTGCAAGTCTTTGTTTTATATTGCGACAAAGTAACACTGTTCATTTAGCCGGCGAAAGAAAGTGATGAAAGTAACCGAGTAATTAATAGTTTGCTGAATAGAAAATGTTTGCGTTTCAAGAACCATATAAAATTATATCCAGTTACGAATTAGTTAACCATAATTAGTATAAGGTTGTATTTTTAAACCAAATTTTAATGATTCGGATAAGAAATTATAGGTTAATGAGCTCCAACCAAAATGTAATCAAAATATTTACCTTTTTGTGGATAAATGTGGCTGGGTTCGAAATAACTTCGGTCCACAAATACTTGGATTTTTTTTTATTTCTTGTGTAGACTGCGAGAGAATGATCAAAGTAATGCCACAAAAAGATAACAGCTTGACAGCTTGAAGAAGGTTTCTCATTAATTTAAATGGAAAAGTTCAAGCCTTGAAAATTGATGTTGAATTTTTCTAGAATGAATCCTTCTTTTGTGTGACCTTATAGAACTGAAAATATACATTAAGATAATATCAGCATTGCAATACGGCACTTAAAAGAGTAATTCATTTATGTAATATTAATGAGCATGTTAAATGCTTTATGAAAAAATATACAACGAATTACTTTGTGTATTGAAACCGAAACCGGCATCGTTTATGTGTCTTTGGCTGAAAAGGGTGAAGAGTTTAAAATAGAAATTTACTTTCAAAGATGGGGTGGCAATTCTTGATGATGTTTTAGGAATGAAAATACAGATATTTTCATATTAAGCCAAGATCACATGGTGTCTAGAATTTATTGTCAATAAAAAAATAAACCCACATTCTTAATTAGGAAGCAGCAATCCGATACAAATTTCTATTTATAAAACTGACAATATAAACTTGCTAATTTCTAATGTGCTATTAAATTCAATGTCATTTTGTTGATATTGACATCATTAATCCGGTTCTTAGTTTTCATAGATTTTTGTAACCGCGACTGTGAGGCCTGCTCGATTTTATATTAGATTTGTGTCTGCAAAATCTATTAATGAAATATATGATATGTCTTTAGCTTCAATTATTGAAAAGCATCATCGCCATATGCATTTATAACTAATCGATTTTTCCTTGTTTACTTTCACTCATTTACTTGATTGATTTGATACAGGTGAACTACATTCTGTTTTTGTACAAGTGTTTCAAGGCAACGATTATTCTTTGTCTATAAAGTAGAATAATATTTTCATTATTATTTCTTGTTTTGTTTTAGATAGTATTAATTTGAACACACACACACAGAAAATCTTGAATCAAAATGACTGAATCAGCTACTGAACAGGTGGTAATGACTCCAAAAGGAAAAACTGGAACCTCTACAACGATCATGATCGAACGAAAACTAATACAAAAGACTAATGAAAAAATGCACGTAGCCGGTGGACAACACACTGGAATTATAATTAATAAAGAGGCAGCTGTAGGTGAGAAATATAAAAATATGTAATATTTTCAAAAATTAGTTCATAAATGGTACACTAGAAACCGACTTAAAATAAGTTAATAATTTTTAAATTTTGTAGAATCCATTTCCAGAAATTTGGATTCATTCCATCAAATTTTCCAAATCTATGTTCTTTTCCAGAAAACGGTGACGCACATACAGCAGCTCAACTCTCCCTAGTATTTAAAGTATTCCTTATAAACGCCCAAACAAAAAAGCACACACAGGAATCCCGAACCCTGAGATTCTGGTTCCGAGCCCCCAAAAACTGCCAAGACAATTTGTGCGAGGAAAATCAAGCAGGCGTAGCACAAGATTTCTTCAGAGAACTAGTCAGCCCAAAAGAATTTCCACGAGGTACGGAAACGGAAGCTGTGTATTTTTGCGATGGAACCTGACTATATCCTGTCTATTTTTAGATTATGTGGGTTTTATAAAGAAAATAATGAAACTTATGCAACACAATTACACAGAAATAAGCAAGTTGGAGGTGGAGCTTAAAATACTTGAAGAACCAGTAGATGTACCCACAAGACCACGTAAGTTCACGTTGTCATTATTTTATGTCCGTTTTCAAAAAGACAACTGTAATTTTATGTATATTTACTGTATATTCTTCTAGCTAAACCAGGGTACCACCGTATAGACTTAAACAACCAGTTACCCTGTTTATACAGATCAGGTTTGGGGGTTGTTGGTGTTGTTTTGTAATGTCTGTGAGTGACTATTCTAACAGTAACCATAATTGTTTTTCAAGTCAAACTTTTGAACAATTAGTACAAAAAAAAGAGTTTTTCATAAAAGCTCTGAGGAAAAAAATGTTATCTGTTTCCCACTAAACTGTTTTTTTTATCAGTGAGAATTACTAATTTTGCGTTTATTTTTTATTTCGATAACAACAGCATGTGAGTATTTACTCAAAATAACAGTAATTGTGGTTTTTGTTGTGATAATATTGATATGGGAGTGCTAAGAATAACATGCGCGACTGTCTGATAGCGTGTATCACCCTCAATTATAAAAAGTGATTCATGTCTCAGATTTGTTAATATTTATACGCTAGAGGCAATAACGCAAGATTTGAAAATTGCTATTTTGGCACCAATCCTGTTTACTTAAAAAACATGAGGAATTTATTTGATGCGATGGACTTTGGCGCGGTGAAATTCCATTCTCGAATTGTCAAGTCATCGGACAGTGTTGCAAGGTTGCTAGACGACTCCGTGGTCTCAACGGATTCCAAATCTGCTATCTCTGTATACAATATTGATAACATATATCTAAAAAAAAATGATAATGTCACGGCTCTGGTATGCGTGACAGAAATCTTGGGTCCGTTTATTCCAAAAAATCAAAGTCCAATTGATACAACGATAATTTATTTCACGTTACTAGACACTCTGTCACTAATTACTTCACTAATTAACTCAAACAGCTTAACTCTTTACAACCTTACAAAATTCACTACTTAAATCGTATCACAGTCAATCTTAAACTTAAAAGCTACTAACTAATATCGGCCTTTGTATATCCGTAATCTATTCTTGCAAAATCCAGAATAAACGCGATAGACCCACTTTCTGTGACACTGTCCTCCTCTTAAGGTTGATCGTTGATCGTCCCGATCAACTTCGCTCCCATGATATTTCGTTAATCTGTCTAGATGTACAACTTTCATCTTACTCCTGGTGTTGCGTTGAACTCGATAAACCAAATCAATAATCCTCGTGATGATTCTGTAGGGACCTTCCCATGCTGAAGACAATTTCGACGACACTTCTTTCTTGTTGAATTATACAGCCACACCAAATCACTTTCTTGAAATCCGGCAGAATTGGCTTTCAAGTCGTATCTGGTCTTCATTCGGTCACTGGCCAGCTGCATATGCTTCCGAGCAAAATCATGTATCCCCAAAAGTCGTGCCCTTAATTCGTCGGCATAATCACGAATTTCTTTTCGTTCTTCAGCAGCTATTCCAAACATCAGATCGCAAGGTAACCTGAGTTTCCTTCCAAAAACGATTCTAGTTGGATTTTCACCTGTTTCACTACATCTATGGCTATTCTTTCAAATGGGAGACCGACGTTGTACTGTTTCATGTTTCATGGGCTCTCGAGATCATAGTTTAGGGCCTTTACGGGTAGCACAGATGTCGCATTTTCGGCACCAGTTAATAGTGAACCCAGTAAAAACAACGTTCTCGAGTTTTGTCCAAAGTCTTGCTAATTCCAAAATGTGTCCCTGAAGTTCCGTCATGTATTTCTTTTAATACATCCTCTACTCAATCTTTTGGAATAACCAGTTGGCTCTCAGTAGATTTTTCATCGGCACTTTCCCAAATTCTTTCCAGTACCTAAACCATTTTCTACGGCCAGAGAGTTCCACTGAGCCCACAACGCCTTGTGAATCAAACTCTTGTTCAACACTTTCCTCCATTCTGGCCTACATACATCATTTTCTTAAAGATGTAGAAATTGTCCAATGTCCTGAACTGCTTCTTGATCTGCTCTCATTTGTTTGTTAGTCCATTTATCATCAACGATCAGACCCGTTCTTCTCATAACCAGACCAGTGTTTTTCTCATGCATGTCGATTTTTTGACAATGTTTGCAGTCTTTTTTGCATTGTCGATTAGACAGAGCGTCAGCATTTATATGCAGGTTTCCAGGTCGATGTTGAATTTGGAAATCGTATTGCTGCAATTTCTCAATCCATCTAGCAAGCTGTCCTTCAGGATTTTTCATTTCTAAAAGCCATTTTAAAGCTGCGTGATTAAATCAAATCAAAATCTTTATTCACGAATGTAGCATTCACAGATAATTAAAAAAATTTAAATAGAACTAGAAAATTTTCTGCTTGTTAATAGGTACCTATATGAAAACAAAACACAAATCTGCAATGAAATACACTCACATAACAGAAACAACAAGAGCAAGATGACGAACTGACCGTTCCATAAATATTAAAATTAAAAAATACATAAAATTTAAAACTTGAAAGTGAAATATACAAAAACTACTGCCGTATACATCATCCTCTTTTAACTTAAAATCGCTTTTTAAAACTGGTCACTTTTAAAAAATTGTATTACTTAGAATACAAATTTTTAAAAGCGACCAGTTTTAAAAACGTTTTTAAGTTAAAAGAGGATGTTGCATACGGCTATCAATACTTAAGTAAAATATATTTAGATTGCCTACAGACGGTCTTAGAATCACAGTTGAAAATATCAATGCCTTCATTTTTTTGTAACACTAGGTTGGCAATCTTACACATCATATCTATGGGCATATTAATGCCATAATTGGTCCTATGAGAAGGAAGGCTAAACAACTCTCGACGTGAGGTCCTAGAGGGAATATAATAATATTAATAATAATAACAAACTTTTTTTCAAAATCATCATTACAAGTGCAACAAAGAAAGAAATGATGTCATACATACAAGTACATAGGTATAGGTACATTAAGTTAAAGGTCTCTACAAAATTCTCTTAAATTATAGGGTTCTAGGTCAAATAACAGTTTTTTGATTTCTCGTTTGAATATTTTTTGAGATTTTATTTTTTTTTCTATTTTCTGGCAGAGCATTGAACAATTTTAGGCACATATTATAATGAGGACATTTTTCTGTTAATGTAAGCCTATGTAATGGGTAGCTAACATCCAAGGTTCGCGTGTTGTAGTTACATTGTTGGCCAATATCAAAACTGTCTTTGTATTTAAAAAAGAACATTAGACATTCATAAATATAGATTCCATATAGGGTCATTATTCCTAGATTTTTAAGTTTTGTCTTGCAACTCTCCAAGTACCCACTGTTAGTGATTACTCTTATCAATCTTTTTTGAACTACAAAAACGCTTTGCATTAGACTATCCCTTCCGCAGAAAACAATACCTTAAAATGGATTCAAAATTTGCAAAGTACAGCATTCTGAGTGTCCTCTCATTCATATATTTGCCAATGACCCTTATCCCGTAGCATATTGATTGAGTTCAATTTTTTAATTAAAATATTGATATGGTGTGACCAATTTAAATTCTCGTCAATATTAATGCCTAAAAACTTTGCATTGTTTGATAGTTCCACTTCTTTATTATTCAGTTCTATAGTTTGTGGCTTTGCTGCTGTAGACTGTTTTGTTCTAAACATTACAATATTTGTTTTTTCTTTATTTAATATTAATCTAATTTTATTGAACCATTCTGTAACTTGATCAAAAAAATATTGTTACTGGGTTAGTAACTCTGGCATTTTTTTTCATACCAATAAGTAGGTTTGTGTCGTCTGCATATTTCACAATATGTTGATAGGGCTTGTTCATTAAAAGGGGTAGGTCATTCACAAAGATTATGAACAGAATTGGACCCAACATACTGCCCTGAGCTATGCCTATTTCATTATGTAACACTTTTGACTGCTCGGTCTTCCCTTCTTTTGTTATGCTGACGCATTGTCTTCTGTTGTTCATTGTTACCTCTGACTCCATACAGTTCTAATTTCTTGAGTAGTATTTCCCTATCCAGACAGTCATAAGCCTCTGATAGGTCAAGCAACATACCAAGCACCAATTCTCCATTTTCAATGTTATGTGAAATAAAATATGTTTAATGAGTTCAAATATTGCTGTTTGTGGCGATTTATTCTTCAAAAAACCATGCTGGCACTGGTTAAAAATGTTGCCTTCCTTTAGAAATTAGTTAGTCTATTACTCATTGCCATTTCAATGATTTTTGAAAAACTGGGCAACAAACTTAAGCGCTTTAGGGTTTCCTTTTTTATATAACGGCTTGATAAGAGCTATCTTCAAATTATCAGGGAATATTCCAAATTCAAATGAATTATTAATTAAATATGACAGTATATTTCCTAATACCGGAGCAACTTGTTTTACAATACTGGTCGGGATCTCGTCTATTCCACTACTGTATTTATTTTTTAATTTGTTTGACATTTCAACGATTTCATTAGGTAACACTGACCTTAAAAACATAGATTCAACATTTTTTTTATCTCACAGCTAAACGGGACATAGGTTAATTTTTTTAGGAGCTCTGGAATGACTGATAGTAGGTGCTTATTATATTCATTGGCAATACATTCAGAGTTTCCCTCGATTTTTATTTCTGAATCAGTTGATTCTTTTCCTGACAATTCCTTGCAAATGGCCCACATGCATTTCGTTTTATTACCTGAGTTTCTTACTTTCTTTTCAAATTCTTTAGTTCATAATGATATTAGCATTTTATCATATATTTTTTTCTGTTCATTATATAAAATCTTATGGTGTTGATTGTTTCTAGAAAGCATTAATAAAATGTCTAGCCGACGTTTACATTCTAAGATCTCTGTATCGGTATGTACTTTTATTTGAGGTTTCTTTGTTTTTTTGCTGACTAATTTTCGAGGGAAACTTTGATTGAATAGGCCTTTGACAATATTCATAAAAAGTTTCCACTGTTGATTCACATCCTCTCTTTCACTGTTATATATATCTAACCAATTTTGTTCTTTTAGGCTACTTACAAAACTTTGTTTATTTTCTGTATTAAAACACCTTCTGTATTTTGAAAAGGATTTCGATATTTTGTTTACTTCAAAGACAATCTTTTGTGCAGTGTGCACCAGGAAATTTGTGAATATATTATCAATGCAGCTTGCGCTCCTGTTTGATATTCGT